TGGGAGCGGGATGGAGCTGGGATGGCAGCGGGATGGAGCCAGGATGGGAACAGGATGGGAACGAGATGGAGTGGGATGGGAACGGGATGGGAGCAGGATGGGAACGGGATGGGAACGGGATGGAGCGGGATGGGAACGGGATGGGAGCGGGATGGAGTCGGGATGGGAATGGGATGGCAATGGGATGGCAATGGGATGGGAGCGGGGTTGGAGCGGGATGGGAGCGGGGTAGGAGCGGGATTGGAACGGGATGGGAACGGGATGGGAACGGGATGGAGCAGCGGGATGGGAACGGGATGGGAGCGGGATGGAAGCGGGATGGGAGCTGGATGGGAGTGGGATGGGAACGGGATGGAGCCGGGCTGGGAGTGGGATGGGAACAGGATGGAGCCGGGATGGGACAGGGATGGGACCGGGATGGAGCCGGGATGGGAGCGGGATGGGAACGGGATGGAGCTGGGATGGGAACGGGATGGGAGCAGGATGGGAGTGGGATGGGAACGGGATGGGAACAGGATGGGAGCGGGATGGAGCGGGATGGGAGCGGGATGGGAATGGGATGGGAACGGGATGGGAGCGGGATGGGAACGGGATGGAGTGGGATGGGAACGGGATGGGAGCGGGATGGAGTCGGGGTGGGAATGGGATGGCAATGGGATGGCAATGGGATGGGAGCGGGGTTGGAGCGGGATGGGAGCGGGGTAGGAGCGGGATTGGAACAGGATGGGAACGGGATGGGAACGGGATGGAGCGGCCGGATGGGAACGGGATGGGAGCGGGATGGAAGCGGGATGGGAGCTGGATGGGAGTGGGATGGGAATGGGATGGAGCCGGGCTGGGAGTGGGATGGGAACAGGATTGGAGCCGGGATGGGACCGGGATGGGACCAGGATGGAGCCGGGATGGGAGCAGGATGGGAACGGGATGGAGCTGGGATGGGAGCGGGATGGGAACGGGATGGGAACAGGATGGGAGCGGGATGGAGTGGGATGGGAGCGGGATGGGAATGGGATGGGAACGGGATGGGATCGGGATGGAGCGGGGCAGTGAGGGACAGTTGTGGGTGTTGGGGATCACTTGGGGAGCACATGGGGCAGTTGTGGGTCTGGGGCTGACTGGGGTGTCAGCTGGGAAACAGTTGTAGGTCAGGGAGATCTCTTGTGGGGACGTTGTGGGTCTGGGGAGTCACTTGGGGGTCAATTGGGAGGCAGGTTTGGGTCTGGGGAGCCACTTGGGGGTCACTTGGGAGGCAGGTTTGGGTCTGGGGAATCACTGGGGTGTCATTTGGGAGGCAGTTGTGGGTCCGGGAGGCCACTAGGGGGGCAATTTTAGGGCTGAGGGGATCATTTGGGGGCAGTTATGGCTCTGGGGGTCACTGGGTGAACACTTGGGGGGAGAGGTAGGTCTGCGAGCTCTCTTGGGGGGCAGGTGTGTGTCTGGGGTGTCACTTGGGGGCAGTTGTGTGTCTGGGGGGTCACTTAAGGGCAGTTGTGGGTCTGGGGGTCACTTGAGGGGCAGTTGTGGGTCTGAGTGGTCACTCTGGGGGCAGTTTTGGGGCTGTTGTAGGTCTGGGAGATGACTGGAGGGCAGCTCTGGGTCTTTGGGGTCACTTGGAGGGCACTTGTGGGTCTGGGATTTCATTTGGGGGACACTTGGGGAACTGTTTTTGGTCTGGGGGTCACTAGGGGGTCACTTGGGAGCAGTTTTGGGTCCAGGATGTTACTTGAGGGTCACCTGGGGGGCAGTTGTGGGTATGGGGAGTACCCACAGAGCATGAGGTTTGGCTTAGAGAAGCCTCACTGCTCGTCAATGAGGTTGCAGTAGCGGCAGTGTCTGTCTCAGGCCTTGGAGTAGCCCCATTGCTGTGGCTGGCACTGCAGCAGCTGCTGTGCTTGTTGCAGTGGCTGGAATAGCTGCAGTGTTTATGTCTATTGTTGCCATGCAGTAGCCACTGTCCCAGTCACTGGGGTTGCAGTAGCCACAGGGCTTGTGGCTGGCAATGAGAAGCTGCAGTGCTTGTGGCTTGCACTGGAGAAGCCTCACTGCTTGTTGATGTGGTTGCAATACCTGCAGTGCCCATCACTGGAGTTGCAGTAGCTGCAGCACCTGTCCTTGGCATTGGAGTAACCCATGGGCCTGTCGCCATGGTTGCAGTAGGCACAGTTCTTAGGGCTTGGGTTGGAGAAGCCTCACTGCTCGTCGATGAGGTTGCAGTAGCGGCAGTGTCTGTCTCAGGCATTGGAGTAGCCCCGTTGCTGTGGCTGGCACTGCAGCAGCTGCTGTTCTTGTTGCAGTGGTTGGAATAGCTGCAGTGTTTATGCCTATTGTTGCCATGTAGTAGCCACAGTCCAGGTCACAGGGATTGCAGTAGCTGCAGGTCTTGTGCCTGGCAGTGAGAAGCCACAGTGCCTGTGGCTCGCACTGGAGAAGCCTCACTGCTTGTTGATGTGGTTGCAATACCTGCAGTGCCTGTCTTTGGAGTTGTAGCAGCCGCAGCACCTGTCCTTGGCATTGGAGTAACCCATGTGCCTGCTGCCATGGTTGCAGTAGGCACAGTTCTTAGGGCTTGGGATGGAGAAGCCTCACTGCTTGTCGATGGCGTTGGAGGAGCAGCAGTGTTTGTCACTGGCATTGGAGAAGGCACAGTGCTTCTGGGTAGGGTTGATCTAGGCACTGCGTATGTTGCAGGCCTTAGAGTAGCCCCATTGCATCTTCCTAGAGTTGGAATAGCTGCAGAGCTGAAAACTGCTGGTGGAGCAACTGCAGTGCTTGTGCCTGGGGTTGGATTAGTCACAGTGCTTGTTGATGGGGCTGGAGTAGCCACAGTGCCTGTCCTTTGCATTCGAGTGGCTGATGTGTCTGTCACGGTACTTTGAGTACCCGCAGAGCATGAGGCTTGGTTTGGAGAAGCCTCACTGCTTGTCAATGAGGTTGCAGTAGCGGCAGTGTCTGTCTCAGGCATTGGAGTAGCCTTATTGTTCTGCCTGGCACTGCAGCAGATGCTGTGCTTGTTGCAGTGGCTGGAATAGCTGCAGTGTTTATGCCTATCGTTGCCATGTAGTAGCCGCTGTCCCGGTCACGGGGGTTGCAGTAGCCGCAGGGCTTGTGTATGGCAGTGAGAAGCCGCAGTGCTTGTGGCTCGCACTGGAGAAGCCTCACTGCTTGTTGATGGGTCACTGGTGTTGGAGAGGCTGCAGTGGTCGTGCCTGGCACTTGAGTAGCTGTAGTGCTTCTGGTAGGACTTGCAGTAGCCACAGTGTTTGTGCCTGGGGTTGATCTAGCCACTGCAAACGTTGCAGGCCTTAAGAGTAGCGACAGTGCTCCCTCCTAGAGTTGGAATAGCTGCAGAGCTGGAAACTGGTGGTGGAGCAGCTGCAGTGCTTGTGCCTGGGGTTGGATTGTCCAAAGTGCTTCTTGATGGGGCTGGAGTAGCCACAGTGCCTGTCCTTTGCATTCGAGTGGCTGATGTGTCTCTCACGCTACTTTGAGTACCCGCAGTGCATGAGGCTTGGTTTGGAGAAGCCTCACTGCTTGTCAATGAGGTTGCAGTAGCGGAAGTGTCTGTCTCAGGCATTTGAGTAGCCCCGTTGCTGTGGCTGGCACTGCAGCAGCTGCTGTGCTTGTTGCAGTGGCTGGAATAGCTGCAGTGTTTATGCCTATTGTTGCCATGTAGTAGCCACTGTCCCAGTCACCGGGGTTGCAGTAGCCGCAGGGCTTGTGGTTGGCAGTGAGAAGCCGCAGTGCTTGTGGCTCGCACTGGAGAAGCCTCGCTGCTTGTTGATGTGGTTGGAATACCTGCAGTGCCCATCACTGGAGTTGCAGCAGCCACAGCATCTGTCTTTGGCATTGGAGTAGCCCATGTGCCTGCTGCCATGGTGCAGTAGGCACAGTTCTTAGGGCCTGGGTGGAGAAGCCTCACTGCTTGTTGATGGGGCTGCAGGAGCAGCAGTGTGTGTCACTGGCGTTGGAGAGGCTGCAGTGGTTGTGGCTTGCACTGGAGTAGCTGCAGTGTTTGTGGCTGGGGTTGACGTAGCCACTGTACACATAGCAGGCCTTAGAGTAGCGCCATTGCTCCTTCCCAGAAATAGAGTAGCTGCAGAGCTTAAAACTGGTGGTGGAGTAACTGCAGTCCTTGTGCCTGGGGCTGGATTAACTGCAGGGCATGTTGAATTGGGTTGCACCAGCCACAGTGCCTGCCCTCGGTGTTTGAGTGGCCGATGTGTCTGTCGCTGTATTTGTAGTACCTGCAGTGCTTGTGGCTTGGGTTTGAGAAGCCTCACTGCTTGTCACTGAGTTTGGAGTAGCCACACTGCTTTTTTTGCCCTGGTTGGAATAGCAGCACTGCATGTTGCTGGAGTTGTAGCTGCAGTGACAGTCCTTGCCATTGGAGTAGCCACGGTGCCTGTTGCCATTGTTGGTGTCACCGCAGTGGTTGTGGCTGGTGTTGGAGTAGCTGCAGTGCTCGTGGCTTGTGTTGGAGTAGCCGCATTGTCTGTTGCTTTGATGTCAGATCTTGTCTCTCCTCACTGCAGAGCATGAGAGACTGAATCAGCCTTGCTCAGGGTAAGTGCTAATCAGAAACCACTATACAATCGGTGTGTTACCAGCGTTATCCTCAGACTAAAGCCCAACCTCACCACTGCCCCAGCTACAAGGAGGAGATATAACTCTTATGAGGTGTCCCTCTGACACCTATTGCTCTCCAAAGAACCCAGAAACCAATCCCCACAAGCCCCCTAATAACTGCAAAAGTCCCCCCAAAACACCCAACCTCAACAAACTCCCCAAACCCCCAAACACCCAAAACCCCCCGCTCTCCGCAAAACCCACAAAGTCCCCCCAAAAAACAACCCCCAAAACCTCAAAGTCTCCAAAAAATCCCACAGGCCCCCAAAATCCATCCCAACCTCCCAAGAGCCCAAATCCCCACCAAAATACCCAACCTGCCAAACCCCCAAACCCCACACTCCCCCCAAGAGGCACCCCCAGCTTACTTGCCCAGCTGCTGGCTCAGGCTGTGAGGGTGGAGGGCGGCTGTCTCCTGGGGCAGTGGATGTTTGCAGCCAAGGGTGGTTGAACACATCGTCCAGGGATGGCCTGTCGCGAGCTCTCATGGACAAGCACCACCTGATGAGGTGCTGGCATTCTGGGGAGAATCCCGGAACTGCCGCTCAGTTGCGGGAGGCTCCTGCCTACCTTGTGCCACCGTCCGCAGCGCCCAGGCCTGGGTGCGCTCAGAGCTGCACCCAGACCTCCTGCTCCATGACTCGGTTTGGAGGAGAGCAGGATGGCAGGACATGGGCCACCTCCTCCAGCTGACCAAGGGCGATCAGCTGCCACCCCCTAAACCCCGACCTTCCCCTGCTGCTGCGAAGCCAGGTACCTACCGACAGAGATCCGGCGCTGGAAGAAGAGCTGCCCGCTGACGATGTCCTCGCAGCACCGGAAGGGGAGGACCCCGCACACCATCTCATACAGCAGCACGCCCAGGGACCAGATCGCCGCCGGACGGCCGTGGTAGCAGCGCCAGCGGAACCACTCCGGCGGGTAGTACAAAGGTGTTCCTACAACAGGATACGGGCGCACCTCATTAGGCAGATGCCGCCTGCTCCTGGATTCTCGCCCGCGGATCCCCAGGGATGCAGGGGCCGCACACTCGGTGTGACCCGCCACCTCTTCATCAGCACGTGACTCTTGTTCACAAACTGCCCGGTACAGGAAGCACCCTGGGCTGTGGGCTCACCGCTAAATGTGGTGTAGACCGTGTCCCTGAGGAGGGTGCTGCAACCAAAGTCAATAAGCTTGACCTCTCTGGTGGCCAAGTTGATGATGATGTTCTTGGGCTTGATATCCCTGTGCAGGACACCGCAGCTGTGGCAGTGCCGCACAGCCACCAGCACCTGGAGGAAAATGCCCCGCGCCAGATCCTCGGGCAGGAACCTCCGTTTTTTGATGAAGTCGGAGAGGTCCTGCGATGGCTCCGGACGCTCCAGAACCAGCACAAAGGAGTGGGGCAGCTCAAACCAACTGAGGAGCTGGATGATGGCACTGCAGCCGGAGCGCACCTTCCTCAACATGGCTATCTCCATGGGAATGCGAGTGCCGCTGGGCTGCAGGGGGACCGCGGCACCGTCAGCAGGGCCGATGCTGGCCCGGGGCTCCTGGGCCTCCCTGCCTGGGATGCTCTGATGCCCTCCTGCCCGGCCCCACTGCTCCCAGGTGCCCCCCGCAATCCCCAGGGATGCTCTGGTGCACCCCTACCCGGCCCGTGTCCCCTGCTGACTCCACACCCACTCCCCTCACGCCGTCCCACTTTCCCCCCCGCCGGCCCCACCGGCTCACCCCCACCCGCTCTGCCCCGCACTGTCCCGGTGGCCCCGCGCACTCACCCGCTCGCCCCACGAGGAGATGCGCTCCCGAGCCACTCGTTTGATCGCCACCTGCGAGCCAAGGGCAGCGCTGGGCTGAGCTGAGCTGAGCCGAGCCCCGCCGCCTCCCCGGCCCGCCGCCGGCCCCGCCCTTACCGGGCTGTTGTCACACAGGCGGAGCCCCGAGTACACGGACGCGAAGCCGCCTCTCCCCAGCAGCGGTCCCACGCGGTAAAGCCGCTCGAAGCTCTCCTTGTCGTGCCCCGTGCGACAGACGCGGCCGCTGTCGCTGCGCGCGGGGTCCCCGCCGCCGGTCCGCGCTCCGCCGCCGGTCCGCGCTCCGCCGGGCACCTGTGGGTGGTGGCGGCCCCCGGCCGGCCCCAGGCGGGGCCGGGCCTGGGGGCGGGCCGGGGAGCGCCAGGGGGCGGTGCTGCCTCGCCAGACCCAGACCCAGGGGCGGCTCGCCCAGCGCAGCCACTGCCAGAAGCGGGAGAGGGGAGCGGTGCCGCGAGCCCCTGCGGGGGGACGCTGGGGGGACGGGGGAGGCACCATCGCGGGGAGCGGCGGAGGGCGGGCTCCGGACCGCCGAGAGCTGCCGCCGCCGCCGCCTCACCTGGTGCTGCTGCCGCTGCTCCTGCAGAAGCCGCTGCCGCTCAGAAGCCGCTGCCGAAGTCGCTGCCGCTCAAAAGCCGCTCAGAAGCCGCTCAAAAGCCGCTGCTGCCGCCGCCGCCGCAGCCTCGCTGTCAACGGCTCTGTCCACGCGCGCCCCGGGCGCCCGCTGCCACCGGGCGGAGCGGCCGGCGGGGGGGGTCTCGCGGCCGCGGGAGCCCGGGGAACGGCGGAGCGGGCCCTGCCCAGCCCCGCGGCCGGGCTCGTGCGCCCCCCGCCCGGCAGCAGCATCCCCGCGGCCGAGCCTTTGGAAACCGAACCTGAGCCTCGGGACCCTGCGAACGAGGCTTTAGAACTGAAACCGGAGGCTTTGGGAAGTCACAAGGAGGCTGCAATTTACTGCTTATTTTATCCCCTCTTTCCTTTCCACAGAGGTGGATTGAGAGGAGATTGTGATAAACACATAAATGTATTGGCTTTCTCAAATCATAGGTGTGCTCACGTGCAGGATATAACTGTACGAGTTTACAGTAACAGAAACAAAACACGCTAAAGATACAAGACCAGACAGCAAGTTAAAAAGGTTCAGATCTCTTGATCTAAATGGAGTCACATAGCAAAAGAATTTGTAAAGGTAAGAGAAGGTGGGGGGTGAAGCTTGGTATAAGGAAAGCTAGTGCCTGGAAAACATAGGGTTAAAGTACTGTTTAGCTTAATTTAGGCTGTAGAAAGAGAACAATGTTTATGTTGTAAGTCGGTGGGATGTAGTGGCCCCACTTAAACATGAGTTAATTGTTTCAGGCTGGTCTTCTAAAGGAGCTTTAAAGAGCGATGTTTGTGTTGTAAGTCTGTGGTGAGGTAACAGGCTTTAGTGGCCCCACTAAACATGAATGAGTTATTTCACACCATCCTTATCAGTTAGTTTGGAGACAGAGCCTCCCAAGGCTCTGCTAGCTTGGGATACTCCTTGTCTGCCCATCCTGCAACAAATTTTGCAGGAAGGTCACACTGTTTTAAATCCTTGCTAGTTATCAGAATAATTACAGATATAGCTGGCTGTGTGGTTGCTGGGGGGCCCAACTGTGCCAGAGGTGAAAAGTACACCGTGAGGAAGACTGCTTACTGCATCTTGAAGACCCCTGCTCACAAGAGGAAGACTGTTTACTTCATCCTCAAGCCCCCTGCTCACAATCACCACAGAGCAGTGCGCAGGCGCCAAGAGGAGGAGACTTGTGATAATAAATTCTGGAAGCTAGTTATAATATCCCCCGCCTCTATGCGGGAATTATGAATATGCATGTAACTGATGTAATACTGAAAGTATATAAACCTGTACCAAATGCTAATCCCTTGCGCCTCTGGCTGCGGTCACGCTGTTGCTTTTGCTTTCTTGCCTTTGTCCCTCACTAAACCCTCGTTACCTCGTTTAGAGGAGTGAGTTCGTATTTCACAAGCTCTCAGGAAGCTCTTCCCTGTGAGGGTGCTGAGGCGCTGGCGCAGGGTGCCCAGAGGAGCCGTGGCTGCCCCATCCCTGGCAGCGTTGGAGGCCGGGTTGGACACAGGGGCTCGGAGCAAGCTGCTCCTTCCATGTGGAAGGTGTCCCTGCCCGTGGCAGGGCTTGGAGCTGGAGGAGCTTTAAGGTCCCTTCACCCCAGCCCATCCGGTGCCTCTGGGATCCCATGGGGGGCGGCTCCTCCATGAGGAAAGGCCCCGCCCCTCACGGGGGGCCCGCTGCCCCCCGCCCACTGCCCCGTGCGCATGTGCCGGAGGCCGGACTACAGGTCCCAGCGTGCCCCGCGCGGGGGAGCCGTGCGCTGATTGGCTGCGTCGGAGGCGGGCCCCGGGCGTGAGGCGGAGCTGCAGCCGGCAATGGCGGCGGCAGAGCGGGAGGAGGTGAGGGTGAGCGGGCGCGGCGCGGGTCTGGGGGGCGCTGCAGAGCCCGGGGAGCGGGGCTGGGGGTCTGCGGCCCCCCGAGGCTCTGGGCAGTGGGGCCGGGCGCTGCGGGGGAATGCGGGGGGCGGGTGCGAGCGCTGGGCAGTGGGGCTGCGAGATGGCTGGGAGTGTGGGGTGCTGCGAAGCCGGGGCATGGGGGGCTGGGAGCTGTGGGGGTCCCGCACCTTTCCGGCCCTGGGGATGGAGCGGGGCTGTTGTGGGGGTCCCTGGGGGCTGTTTCCCCCCGGGGGGGAGGTGCTGCTGGGGCAGCCGATCCCCGGCACCCGGGGGGGGGGGGGGCGGGCCCGAGGTGTCGTTGACTCTGAGCCGGGTTTTGGCTCCTGGAGCGGGATGGGGAGCAGGAAGGGAAGGATGAAAAACCCGAGGGTGGAGATAAGAACAGTTTAATAACCAAAGCACAATGTACTAGTGCTGGTGATAGTGATAATGATGATAAGGGAAATAACAAGAAGAGAGGAAAAAAAAAAGAGGAAACGGAAAAAAAACCCCAAGCTAATAAACACAAGTGATGCCCAATACAATTGCTCAGCACCCGCTGAGTGATACCCAGCCCAACCCGAGCAGTGATCCTTCCCTTCCAGATAACTCCCCCCAGTTTATGTACAACTAAAACGTCAGTGTGTTGTCAGCATTGCTCTCGGAATAAAGCCAAAGCGTTGCTCTCAGTGTGGTTTTCAGCAGCCCATTGTACCATTTCCATTTCAAGTCTCAGTGTGTTGAGAAGGGCCAGAACCTTTATTTGCCCTGCTGCTGATTTACCCTGGTCATCGAGCTGAAGGCTTTAGATGTGGGAGCAGTTGATCTAGGGCTTGTTCATGTCATTTTATGCCATCTAAAAACTAAACGGAGTTTCTCTCATTAAAGCTCTACAAATGCCCTTTCAATCCTAGCGCTTTTAATGTATGAGATAGCCGTGGATGGCCCGGTACACAGGCTACGCGTACAGCACCCTGCAGTACAAAATATGTATGACCTTCCTGGTCCCTGCGTGCGGCTGAAAATGAGTGTGGTGTCACAGGAGGTTATTTGAGGATGAACTAGAAATGTTCCAGGCCTTGTTTCTGGGGAAGTCTCTCGTTCCCAGGTTGTCCTGGTGCTCTGTGGACAGGCTCCTGGCCAAGTGTTGTCTGTGCAGGTGTTCCGGAGGCTCCGTGCTTCGTCACGCAGTCGCGTCCTGCACTGAGGTGACTCTTAGTTACTGCCGTAGCTCAAGCACAGGCCCTCACCAACGGCTGCAGTCGCTGTGAGTGCTGGTTTTTGTAAAAACGTTTTTTTTTGCAGGGGATTGTCTCTTCTGTGAAACGTTTGCATGGGATTTCTGTAGTTAAAAAAATACACAACTGCTTTGTTTTCCCCCTGTGCTTGCCTGTGGTGAGTAGGAAGGAGAAGGAGAATGTCTGGCAGAGACGGGTAAAGAAGAGAAAGGGGAAGAAACGAGCCCAGAGAAGCAGTGCGGAAGATGCCAGTGAAGAGCAGGGAGAAGAGAAGCAGCAGCCTCCAGCAGGGCAAGCGAGAAAGTGCTCCTCCCAGAGCAGCGTCCCAGAAAAAGGAAGGCGGCGAGAAGTTGGAGTCTCAGGTGAGCCTCCTGCTGAGGGAATGGGTCGTGGGTTTTGGTGTCTGAGAAGTTGAAGGGTGAGAAGCAGTCTCTAGGTTCAGGCAGGCCTCGGTCAGACACAGCAGTGAAGCAGCTATTTATTTACCGTTTGTGCACAAACGGGTGTCCTGGCAAGCAGGCACACACAGCAAAGGCAGAACTTTGATTTGTATTTCCTTTCCCATCCTCAAGTTCCCTCCTTTGTTACCCCATTGGTTGGGGACTCCAAGGTTTACAGCCTCTCCGACGTGTATAATCTACGTGCTAACTGTCCCGCCTCTGGTTACACCTCCCCTTACTCAGTTTCGTACACCCCTTCCTCTTACTTCTTTCTTTCTCTCCCTTTAGGGTTTGATTTCATAACTCTCTGGCAGGCACATGGTACCCCAATTTACTGCTTAACTACAGCAGCAGTTTGCACTGGCTTAGCTTCATAGGGTGTACAAAGATAGCGTTCCTTTGCAGCACAGAGAGTGCCTGTTGCCCAGAGATGCCGTTGTCTTTAAGCACAGAGTGTGCCTGTTTAAGTCACGGTATTTCAAACCCTATGTTTCGTTCCCTGAGTAACTTAGCCCCAGCCCCATTATTGCAAAGTCTTAGTATTACAAAACCTTAATATTGCAAAGCCTCATCCCAAATGTGCAAACCCAACAGTGTTTCTCTCTCATGCGTGATTTTTCCCTGTAGGGAGCCTGCCATTTTCTTTTCACAGAATCATAGAATGGTTTGGGTTGGAAATGACCTTAAGATCATCCACTTCCAATTCCCCTGCCGCAGGCTGGGACACCACACGCTAGACCGTGTCGTCCAAGACTCCGTCCAGCCTGGCCTTAAACACTGCCAGGGATGGAGCATCCACAGCCTCTCTGGGCAACCTGTTCCAGGGCCTCCCTACCCTCACAGTAAATGCAGTTGTTTTCATCATTCAGAGAATCTTTTTGGTAAAGGATCAGCGCAGCTTACAGATGGCATCACTGATGGCACAGCTTCTAAGTACCCAAGTTTGGATCATTAATTCTTTCATCCACCTTGGAGCAAGAGTAGTCCTAAAGCATTGCTGCCTGGTTCTTAGTTGTTCTCAACATGCACCAAGTAACAGAAAAGACCCGAAGGAGAAGCTCTTGGGGGTTTTATTTCTGGTGTTCAGGCAGTGGCAGTAGAGAGGAGACTGAGAGGTCTGGGAGCAGGCAGCTGTAAGCACACCTTCCTGGGATACCTGCCGAGCGGCTTGCTTTGCTTATCTCTGTTTCCCAGTGGTTTTAAATCCTGAATTGTGAGAGTTAAATGAATTCGTTGATCTCAACAGAGCACTTCTGCATGGAAATAGCGGCTCAGGAGGGAAAGATGCCTCTTAGTCATGGTGCTTAAGAACTAGACGTACATTTGTTTGATTTTAAAATTCATACCCTTCAAAATGCACTCGCAAATGCATTGTGTCCCTTTCCAAATGCTGCAGTAAGCATTACTGAAGGCAATTCCATAGAACAGGGCAGTTTGGCAGGTGGCCTTTTTTCTTGCTTTCTGATTGCACTGACTTTCCTTACCCTTCTCTACCCCCAGTGTGTCTTCTTTTCTTGCAGCTTATGTCTCAAAGTGCCCAGGCAGGTTTGTGACCTACATTGATATTCAGGCTTCCTACAGATACAAACCCGATCAGTGGAATTACTTGAAGCAGTTCTGCAGACCTGGTTTTAAGAGTCCTCACAAGGTCTGTGTGTATCAGGAGGAGATGGAATTCATTTTGTTTCTTCAAGCAATGTGTAATAAGCATGGTTTTACTGAGCTACAGCAAAGCTTTGAATTATTCTGATTTCACCGTATAAGGAGTTGTCCCATACATACGCTTTGGCAGTGATTTGGTCAGGGATGAAGGTCTTGTATGCACATCACATCCCTAACTCTTTCAGTGATTACTGTTTCCTTAAAGAGTATCTGCAGCTACCCATGTGGTTGCAGTACTGTGAGAAGTATCCTTTAGTACTTAAGTACTCTGCAGCAGTCGAGCAGAGTGTCTCAAACCAGTTCTTAAGGCTCCTGTTACGTAGAGCTCCTCAGTAATTTAGCTAGGCAGAGAAGTCTGTCTTTCCTGGAACTGATTTTGGACTCAAATGTACTGTGTGATTTCTCCCATCTCTAAACCGCCTTGCGCTAAAGCTGTGTTAGTTGTGTTAAATTCTTACTCTTCTTTAGGAGAAAAGTAAGGGGGAGGCAAGGAGCGATTGCCCAGTCATTGCTGCTTTACCTGCCGATCCAAAGTGAAGAGGTCTTTTCTTTTTTTTCACTAGAAAAGTAAAGAATAGTCTTTTCCCAAATCCCATTGAGAGGCTGGATTCTCAGATCATGAATGTGTCTTGCAGCTCCAGCAGTCAAGTTTGGGGAGGAGGCTACAGAGTCCAGTTTGGGGCATTTTCTCAGAGTGGGTGGGAAACAAAACCCACTTAGTTAATTCTGCTATGTATTCAGCATTCCCGGTTTTCCCCTTTTCAGTCTGTTGCTCAAGCTCTACGTGATGAAGATTGTCCTTTGATGATCATTCCAAGCAGGCCTTGTGAGTGGTTCTATTTCTTACACACATCTTAGCAGACTGTAAGCGTTCACATGAAATCACAACTCCAGTCTGAAAAGTGTTCTGTGGCAAGACCGCGAGGAGCTGGCTCTTACCTGGCAGTGGCCTCCATTCAGTTTTAAACAGTTTGAAAGTATGAAGCTTTATCATCATTTTTTCTAGGGAGCCATCCATGGACACTTGGAGTGTGATTGGGTCAAGCTGAGCTCTTTCTTGCTCTTGAATCATTCCTGGTAAGAAGTGGTTTACGGTGCAAACTCTTCCTTCCAGAACATGTGAGCACCCAACCGAACCCAAGCCAACCTGTTGGCACGAAGGAAATGCCACGACTGTAGGAAAGCTCATCTGGGCAGCTGTTGAAGTTCAGGTGGTACTTGAGCCCAGTTAACTGGGCAGCTTGCTTTTCAGTGCTGCACATAGTGCTGCCTATGGAGGGCGGCAGAGGAATTAAGGGGACAAAAAGCTGGTTTTGTCACTGTGGTCAGCAGGTGCTTTTGAGTAGACAGGCAGAGGCCTCAGGGCTCAAGAGTATCTGTCACTGACCTAGAAGCTCATGCAAATAAGGAAGTGCTGTTATTTTTTTCCATGCTTTAAAATAGAGATTGTGTAAAGCAGGCCCAGGCTGTCAAAAAGAGAAAATAATGGAT